ACTGAAAAACAAAATAGGAATAGATGGGCTAGCTAGGTTTCGTCTCTGTCTTATGCAGTGTTCCTGAAGCTTAGCTACTATTTTAATATTTTAATTTTTAAACTAAAAAAAAAAAATATTATTAATCCGGTTTTCTCTCTTCCCCCCCCCCCCCGGGTTTACCGTTCTACTGTCCATTATGCAGTGTTTCCTGAAAGCTTAGCTACCTATCTCTTTTAATTATTGCTTTGTACTAATTTTTCAACTAAAAAAAAAAAAAATATTAATTGACAATCCCCCGGTTTCTCTCTCGCCCCCCCCCCCCCCCCCTTCATTCGCAATAGGGTTAACAGACTATGTCGACGAAATCGAAAAAAACATAAGACTCAACAGCCGACCTAATTCTCGATCGTTATAAATTTTAAGATTGCGGTTTAGTTTTGTTTAATGGAGTTTGGATTGAAATTTTTTTACTATTTGAATTTGATGTGATTTTTTTTATTATTCTATCATAAAAAACTAAGAAAGAATAAAATAACTGATATTTAAATCCATAACTACTCCAACCATACAAAATAAATTAAATTAATGTTGATTTATAAACTACTCGGTTTTCAATTTCAATTGAAAATTTCAAATCTAAACACTTGGTCCGGTTTTATTCGTGATTTCGATTTTGAACAAAACCAACACCCTTTCATCGCCAATAGGGTTAACAGATATTGACGAAATCGAAAAACATAAACTAAACCGACCAATTCCGCTCGGTTTAGTTAAATTTTTAAGATTGACGGTTTAGTTTTGGTTTTAATGGAGTTTGGATTGAAATTTTTTACTATTTGATTTGATGTGATTTTATTTTTATTATTACTATATAAAACTAAAAAAATTAAAAATTAAACTGAATTAAAATCCAAAATAATACTCAAATAAAAAAAATTAATTCAATTTGATTATATAAACTAATCGGTTCAATTTCAATTTAAAATTTTCAAAATCTAAACATTTTTTATTTTGATTTCGATTTTGAACAAAACCAACACCCCTAATCACCAGCATATCCCTTCTCCCCTTTTCATCTCTCAGAAAAGAAAGAAAGAGTCGATCATTTTATCATATTTACCCAAAAATTTCTCTCTTTCTAATCAACAAGAAAACAAGACAAAAAAAAAATTCCATCACTAAATTTTGTCAGTGGGAGTTAATTCAAGCTCAAGCATGAAAATAATAACTGAATTGAAATTTTGGACACTGGCTCCATTTACAACTTCAGTCTCACAGGATGTGGGACCTAAACAGACAAATCCAATGGTAGGAGAATCTGCGTTAGGAGCGGGAAAGAGTCATAAAAATAAATTTTAGCAGCACAAGAAACCAAGAAAAAGAATCTGCAGATGAGAAAAATCTGAAAGGGAGCAAGAATTGCGGCCTATGCCATCTCAGCAGGGGACATAAAACTATACATCATACACTTGCTTAATCAATTTTAATGTGTTTGTAATAACAAGTTGTTAAAAGATTAGATTCCCAATTTGAGACATAATATCCATTTTAAGATAATGCATAACTTTGTTAATGAAGTTGTTTTACACCACATTTACATTTTTGGTGCCTCTAATTTAATTAATTTATGTCAATCCATTAGTATTTGCTTTTCAAAATATGGTTAATCATCACGTACAAACATTAGAACCTAGCTTCTTATCACTTAACCTCACTGTTTAGGCCCATTTGGATCAATGATTGGGCCTTAATTGTTGAATCACACTGGTCGTTGGTTAGCACTAAAGGATCAATATTGAAGACAGAATAAGATTTTTAACTTCCAAAATTTCAATGACTTCCGTCCCTCGTCCCAATGCATGAATTTCTAACATTTCTTTTTTTTTTTTTCTTTCACCCGTCAATATTTCAACTTATAAAATTATATATATTAAACACTCTAATTTATAAAATTATTTCATTCAGCATTTAATTTTACTTTTATAATTTTTAAATTGAATATATTATTTTTTACTTTAATGTGCTATATATATAAAAGGCGAACTATCTTTTCAAGTGGAAGAAAATACAATTTTAAACCAAACATTTTAAGTTGATTGTTGGTTACCGATGGAAGGATCAACATTTACAACTATAAGTATTAACTTCAAAACCCTCAATGAAAATCTTAAACAGTTGACAACTGAAACTTTAAATTAATTGTTGGTTAGCAATCGAAAGATCAATATCGACAACTAAAAAGATCCTCAATTAAAATTTTGAACAGTTAACAATAACACTATTATACAGTAGCTATTGCATATTTTTATTTCAAAATAAAAATGAAATGTTCATCAAGAATTGATTCGCTACAAATAGAACATACACAAATTGCTATGCTTCAGAAACCATGAGTTGAAATATAATCATTTCCAACCATTTCTGACCATAAGGGTGAAATTACCACCTGCTAGAAATCCCAGCTTTCAAACTACAGGCGAATTTGCTCTTAAGCCTGCAAATTCGTCGTGCATAGATAGATTCACCACCATCTAAACTAAGCAAGCAGAGTACATTCTCAATATGAAGGATGCAGATTCCTTACAATGTGCCGCCTTTTACCAGACAACAAAAATTGAATCAAAAATAACCTGACAAAGCAGTGCTATATAATAATAATTTTACTTATTTCATCGTGTAACATAGACTACTTCTTGAATACAAGGACATAGCCAAGTAAAAATAAATGGATGGCAAATTACAAAAACAAAACAAGCTATAGTAATTTGGAACCATATGCGAGCAACAATCAACTCAACCCCATGAAGGGTAGTGTCACAGCCAGTTGAATCTAATCAGAAGCTCCAAATCATCAATTCTTTAAGCCTTTTATGTTCTTAATCAAAAAAATCACATTCAAGCTAAACATTACATAGTTACAATATTTCATTTGCTAAGCTCTATTTGGTTAACTTGCTAAAGGAAAAAGACTTTAGCAAGCTAAACAAACATAAAGTCAATAAATCTGGAAAACCCTTGGGTTACAGTAAGAAGATATTGACCACCTAAGCCTTTATTTGGATGGAGAGAGGGAAGTTTTATTAAAGTAAGGTGAGGTGAGATAAGGTGCAACAAAATAATGTAACGGTCTTATTTATGTTTGAGACGAAGGTTTATATACGGCATTATTTGGTTTGCATGAATATTACAAAATATCCTTCTCATCAAAGTCGTTATTTTCAGAAATATGAATTGATTGAAATTATTTTTTCTGATAAAGTATTGATTTATTGATACTAAATTAATTCTTCCTAAATTAAATTTTTAAAGATATATAAATTAGTTAGAAAAAGGAAAAAAAAATAAAAGAAATAATGAAGGGGGTATTTTGGCTTCTAAATTATAAACATGAATAATATGGAAAATTAAAATGTTTAACCCTCCCCAATTTTGGGTTGAAAATGTGTTACCCCTCAAATAACTACCAAAAAATTTCCCTTCTATTAGCCAATCTATAAAGGGCATATAAAGATAGCAAACTAGTTAGCTAATTGGGTAGTAGTAACTTTTTAACATTGGTTGGCTCAAGTCCAAATAAGCCCGCATCACACATTTTCACATCATGAGTTCTTACCTCTTATCCAATTCACCTCTACCCTTCTACTCTTTCAACATTGTAATACCCTCCAAAACCTCTTTTCGAACAACCCAATAATTTTGCCTTAGCTTAGCTTAGCTTAGCCCCAAAAAACCCCAAAATAACCCCCATCTAAACAAAACCTAAAGGCTAATGAAACATTTAAGAGAATGTATGATACAAAATTTACCTTATCAAAGCAACATGATCAACAAACTTTTTTCAACAGGGCCGGCAGGACATTAGATTCCAAACTCCTGCATTCAGCTTTTTCCCGTGTTTAAAGATGGTTAAAGACCTCAATTTCAAGACTAATTGCTGGAAACAAAAGCAAGTATAGTCATAGACACAGACAAAACGTTGGTATCACAGTACAGAGATTCCCTAGACCTCATTATCCTCTTTAAGCATTTGCAGAGGTTCCTTTTTTATTCCTAAGCAACCATATAAATTCTTCAATAAATCATAGAAGATAAAGTTCATGTGAAAGTATCTCTTCCAGAAAAAATTTCACTCCAAAATTCTGTTTAGATCTATTCAACAAATTGATATACTTCTACGGTCCTCCATATTATAAATTAAAATACAAATGCTCCCACATAAAGACTCATATAATAACAATAATTTCATTCCAATAAAAATGTTATTGACACTACATTGTTGGGTGGGGATGGGGTTTGATTGAAGCTAAATAAAGCTAAGAAAGGATTTCCAACAATTCCTGTAGGAAGAAAATAAAAAGTGGTGTAATATTCTCTCTGCCGTCATACATCTTTAATTGAGAAAAGGAAGTAATCAGGACAACAAGGTTACATTCTTCACTAACTTTTGTGAGAGGCAGGGAGTGCTATCACTTCCTCCTACAATGGCAAAGCAGAAAGAGACCGCCGAAGGCGAATTATAAATTATAGGTGATATCTTGCAGTTCATGAACTTGGATTAAAGCAGGTGAGCTCTCAGTTAATAAAATGGCTAGTGGGCTAAATGAAAACAAAACTCAGGTTCAAAAGATGATGCCAATATCCCCCAACATGACTGAAGGATCAGACCAATAATACAACTGAAGGCATAGGTGCTTCCTCCAATTATTTCAGCTTATTTGCACTCATGGTGAACCCAACGGGAGGTTTCTAAAATATCTCAATCAAGTATCAAAGAAGAAAATGTGTTTAGAGCCTATTATTTGGGGTAGAACTTAGAACATGTAAGAAATGAACCAACAGAAACTTCTAAACTGTGCAATCAATTCAAAATATGTAGGTTAACAAGCTTTTTCTAAAATGATACATTTCCACATACATTTAGATATAGAATAAAGATAAGCGTATTGTATTTCCAAGTCACAACCAATCAATCACAAATTTATAATTATTCAATGCATAAATGTATGCTCCACCTTAAATGAAAATCAAATCTAAACAAAATATTACCATTTCAAAGTCTATATGACAATCATATCCAATTCTCTACTAAACAAAGGATCAGAATTATCCATCCAAACAAACACTAGGTATTCACTGAGACTACTTGTAACTAGCATGCAAAATGAAATCTTTATAGAACTAATATCCGAGGAATTTAACAAAACAAAGACAAAAATAAAGGGGGAAAAAAAAAAAAGAAAACTTGCTCTTACCCTCTCACCTAAATTCATTTTCCATTCGTTTTACCTACTCGAACCAGCTCCTTCCCTTTGGACTTTCTCCGAGAAGAACTTTGTTGCAAACATGTTATCAAGGAAAAACTCCCTGTACGGATGATTCTTAGGCACAAGCTTCCTAAACTGCTCAAATTTTTTCTCTGCCTCGTCTTTCTTCCTCATCAAAGTATATATAATTCCTTGACACAAATAAGGCCTAAAATCCCTTGGCTCTTCCTTCACCAATTCCTCATAAACTTTAAGAGCATCAATATATTTCTCCTCCATAACTCTAATTTGCGCAATTAATAACTTAAAGTCCCTCAAATCAGACTTCTTCTTCTCCTTCTTACATTTATCCATAGCTCCTTCAATTCTTTTTAACACCTCATCTAATGAATCACCAGATTCAGAATTTGCCATTACTAACCCATGATAAGCCTCAACACGAAGAGGATCTTTCTCCAATATTTCCTCAAACCCTTTCCTCGCCGATTCAAATTCTCCACTGTAACTATAAATTTGAGCTTTCAGCAATGGCCATTCATCCTCATTGGGCTCAAGCTCAATCAAACGGTCAACAACTTCAATTGCTCCTAGAAGCTTCCTCGACTTGATCCTAACCTCCATAAGAGATCGTAAAGCTTCAGTATCCTCTGGATTTCGACTCAAGTGCTCCTCAAGAGCTCTTTCTTGTTCTTCAAACGATAAATTCTCATTCGACGATTGCTTGGCGGGCTCTACGGTAGCAGGGGCGGTGGCAGGTGCAGCAATGGCGGGTTTATTACAGAGCCGCGAGAAGAATAATGCAGCAGCCGCGGTGAGAGTGATGCAGGTGGTTTTGAGGAGAGGGTTTAGGGTTTGAAGAAGAGAAGGTTGATGGGTTTGCGATATTTTATAGAGTGGAGCACGAGACGATGAAGCTCTAACAGAGGAGAATTTGAAAGGAGACGACTGGGTTTTGAAGGACAGGGAGAATAAGGGCTTAGAGAAGGATGGACGGTTGCAATTGAGAGACAGGTTAAAGGATTGGTTAGGGCAGTGAAGCTTAGCAATCGAAGAATCCATGTTTCAGTGAGAGGGAGAGAGAAAAATAGAGGCTAAAACCCTGTTTATGATGATGGGAAGACGAGAGTGTTCAAAACCCTTGTTAACAAGGAGAATATGCTGTTTGGCTGGCGTCAGAGAGAAATACTGAACGGTGTCGTTTTAACTAATTTGCGTTGTTGATGTGGGTAGTTCTTATGGGCCTGGGCCGAAGTATAAACTGCCCGTTGTTGACGTGGGTAGTTCTTAGCATTTTAATAAGGCCGGACCAGAATTTGTATTGTAGGTATTGGGTTTGAGAAACACACAAATAGGTATCCATATTTTAAATTTATTGACACCAGACCTTAGCTCCCTATTGACATAAATGAATGTAAATTATAAAAAAATTTCATTTGAAAATAAATTATCATATTTGATATAGTAAAATGAAGAATATAATTCAATTGATTTTCATAAAATTTAAAGAGAGGATGTGAGTGGAGAATAGATATTTTAATTGTATAAATTTTATGGAATTTGTTTGAAATTTTATTAATTTTGATGAGACTTAGTTTAGATATACTCAATTTTACTAAATTGAATTCACAAAATATTTAAGAGAAAAAAAAATGAATACATACCTGAAAGTTTATCGTTTGAAAAATCATATTTGACTCCCTAAATAATTAAAAAAAAATTCATTTGCTGCCCCCAAAATAATTGTCATAGCTCCATCCCAGTATATATATATTTTTACATAATTTAGGATTTAACTCAAAATCATTATGGGATTTGGAAAGAATATTTTATATTTACGTTAGAGAAATAATTTTTTTAAGTTATTATCTTATTTGTTGTAGAATTATTTCTTATCTAATATAAGATTTGTATTTGAGAGTTATTCTTAATTGAATATAAATTTATATATAAATTAGCCAAAAAATCATGCTTCGCATGCAGATATTTAAAATATCATGAATTATCAATTGTTTAGAAAGAACAATAAAAAAAACTCTACTTGAAATAAATCAGTAATAGTAAATATCAAAATAATTTGTTATAAAGAAAATTATGATATTATTTGCAATAGCATATAAATTTTAAAGATATACTTCTAGTTAAATGTAAATTCAATTATACAAAGGTAAAGAATATTACTATTGAGTTGATAACGTAAACGAATAAACTTGATATATATATCAAATCAATATACATATGCATAACTTACAAATGCCAAATTAAATAGGGATGGAGTTTGCAAGCTAACATATAACATTTCAAAGTTAACGTATGACATCTAGTTATAACGTAACAATAAACTTGTATATATATACTAAATCAAATATAACCATATGCAGTAAACTTACAAATGCCAAGTTAAATAGGATGGAGTTGCAAGCTAAACATATAACATTTCAAGTTAACGTATGACATCTAGTTTATATATATACATAATATATAACTTATATATATATATATTCGATAATAATAATTACTAAATTTCATTTTGAGAAGCTTTTGTTGTTAGATTGAAATTAAAAGTAAAAGTCTTTACCTAGAAGTTGTGACTCGGTTGGAAATGCAGGCTAAACATATGGAAAGAATTTTCGAATTTGATCACCACTAAATACATCTGCAGGGGAGGACGAAAAGTGTTAACTGTGATTAAGTCCCGAACTGTATTGTTTAATTGATCCCTGGTAATATGGTGTGAATACTAGTGGTTTACAAAAAAAAAAAGAAGTAAAATCTTCTTTTTTTTTTTTTTTTTTTCCCTTAAATGTATGATTCACTGTCACTGTATGCAGGGAAAACTTTGTCAATTTTTTTTTTTATTTTTTTAAGATCTTTCTAGTCACGGGTTGTGTTCTTTTTGGCCTGTCCATATGCATCCTTTGCTTGTGAATCTGAACGTATAAAGATTTTCTTTTTTTTTTTTTTTTTCTTGTGAATTGTGACACATATTAAGTATCTGTCTTTTCAATAATAAAATAAAATTAAAATTCTGGAGATTGAGACAGCAAAATTAGATTAAAAATTTTTTTTCGTTCATGTTGATGCTTTTGTTGCCATGTAATAAAATAAATTAAAAGTAAAATAGAAAGTGTGGAGATTGAGAAATAGAACCTATCATTGTCAACTATTGGACTGCACATTATTAATCACTTTATTTTTCTTTGTAATAATCAAGTTTATAAGAAGCAATAATGAGTTAATTACAATTTATAAAGTTCTAATTACCATTTATAAAATTACAAACTTCAATAACGAAGAACACAAGAGACAAAAAAAAAAAAAAAAAAAAAAAATAGAAATTGACAATAAGTACGTAGTGATACAATGGCTTGATTTGCACATCATCAATTTTACAGAGTGAAATTACAAATTTATAATTCTTCAAAGTTCCCTTTAAAACGCCTTTGCTAGTTTTGTGAACACCCTTTGCAGCTACAGTTAGAGTCTGATACAATTCACCCGTGCGAAAAATGCTTTCAACATTAACCTTGGTACTACCAATTAGCTATGTGGTCCAAAAAATGGCGAAGCTACAACTGCATGCCCGCCATGATAGGGAAAGAGCTGATGGAAAATGTAATCATCATAAACACATTTGTTTCCTTTGTCCTTTTTGTTATCTCCAGGTAAAAGAGCACTTCTGTGACCAATATTTACCTGCAGTAATAATGAACATTTAGAAATTATAGCTCAAACTCGAGATAATCACAGGACCAATATAATAAGAACATCCAAATACAAATTCGTGTCAAACAATATTCCAAATTATACAAAACACAAGAAAAGGTGATAATAAAAGAATCAAGAAACAAAAAACGCCAAACATACATATCTTGCATCAGGGAGTGCATTATCAAGTGCTTATTATTGTCTATATTCGTATGCATTGTTGGTTATTTAATGTGCTTAATATCACCTTTGTTAGTCATTTTTAACTCATTTAGAACATTATTGTTAGTTGCATATTGGAGTAATATGATTAATTGGTAAAATTCCAGGCATTTTTTTGTTATTCTTCCCTTGTTCGGTTTTTCCAGCGATACTCTGCGAGTTTGGTAAGACTTCAAATTGGAGTCTCCGTTTTGAATGCACCTAGAAGATGAACTAAAGTCTTCTACATCAATTGTCAACACAGGAACGCAGCAAGCTTAATTAAATAAAGTTCTACAATTGTCAAAAGGAATCAGAAGCTAATTCAGTCTCAATATTGATCAAATTCAGCTCTGAATTGTGAAGCTATGTGCTGTATGACTAAGCACAACCTGTTCTGTTGTGGACTTCATATCTGAAGTTCCAAGTGTCCAAACTAACTCAGCCCAGACCCATTGAATTCTTAGAAGACAGCCCTACAGTTGTTGTGAAGACAATTAAATGAAATGAAGTCATTTTGGTCTTCAAAAACGTCATAGAAGATTAACGTTTTGAGCAGAATTTCTGCTTCAATCTGATTTCGTTTTTTTTAGGTCATATTCTTGTTGTAGATGTCCATTTTGGGCGAGCCTTAGCTCGTTAGAAAGCGGAGAGAGAGATTTTCAAATTTATTGAAGGAGTCAGAGCCAGATTTGGAACATACAGAAGATACTGAAAAACAGGGGAGAAATCAGAACAGCCATTTTTCTGTTTACTGCTTTTGGGAATTTCCAATTGATTAGGGATTCTCCTTTTGGAGGTGTTATATATGGAGTGATTCTACAGCAGCAAGGGGGCACGTTATTCTTCTCTTAGTTCATCTATTAATCTAGGTTTTTGTTCTTTATTTTTTGTTTTGGTGATTGGAAGCCATGATTATAAGTGGCTAATTTCTTTACACCAATTCAAGGGATTTATCATCCTTGTACTTTTGTGAGACTCGGGTTTTAAACGAGTAGTTTCTTCTTGAATATCTATTGTTTCTTGTTCTTATTGAGTTGATTCTATTGAATTCTTTGCTAAAAAGGCCTATTAGTGAATTGTTTGGTAGGATTAAGTGCTATTTCAGATTTCATAATCCGTAATTATTATGAAAGTTTGAATGTTAGTAGCAATTAGTTAGTCAGCAATTAGGTATTACTGATTAATATTATTTCAGGTTTTCAGTAATAATCTATAGAGACAATAGAGTTGAATTAAATGATTTATGCTTTATAAATTGTTGTTCAAGTTTAACTACTTCCTGATTCTTAATGCTTTTATTAAATAGAAATGGATTGCTTAATACCCGATCGTTTAATAATTAGAGTTAATGAGGGTGCTGGGTTCAAGTTAACGAAATAGGAGAGTTTTGGGAATTTATCATGTTTTTTTGGTAAATTTCAGTTAAGTATTCAAAGAGTAATTAAATCATAAGTTGTCTGTGATCAATTGTGCATTAGATTAGAAATCACTTTTTTCATCAATTTGCATTACTACTTTAGATTCTTACTTAGTTTTTTTAATTAATTTCTTTTTGACTGTTAATTGATGTTTTCACAACAAACCCCTTCTTTTTTAAAACACAAATAATTAAGATTTCAGTCTTAAAGGTTGATCTGAATTCACCAAAATTAAGATTTCAGTCTCTAAGGTTCGATCTGAATTCACCACTTCTACAGTTAAATTCAGAAATTTAAATTTGGTGGAACCGACAAACATCACGTACCAACAGTAGAAAAGCAGAAGAACACACACCCAAAAAAGTCCAAGAAAGTTGAAGAACTGAACCAAGAAAGTAGAAACTCAAGATCAGCTAGGAAAGACACAAAAGAATTCAAAGAAAGTTCCAGAAATGAAATCCAAATATCTATGAACCAAGGAGCCTATTTATAGGGTAAATAAAACAAAACTCGATTTACAATAATATATATGTAATTATTATGTAACAAAATATATATTCTCACGCCTTAATCGCACAATTAGTGAATTACCTTTGCTAGTGATCGGAATGTTCATCAACATCAATCAATTCCAATTTTTACATTCCCTCTGTAACGCTAATGTGAAAAGCTGCAAAAAGAAATTTCATTGTTTCCTTGTTTAATAGCAAAATCCACTTGAACATATAGTCATAACAACATTGGTAAATAAATACATTCAACCATGGTAACCTGCAACTATTTTATCATATATCTTAGATAATTCCTACGCA